TAAATCCAGAACATTGGAAAAAATGTATTGAATTGGGGAAGGACAATACATTAAAGGGGGAGATATATTCAGCTCTTTCATTTAAAATTGAAGGTTTAAGGGGGGGGAGAAGTCAGTCTTGGTCATATTTGAACCCTCTTGTAAAAGATAAATAAATATGAGCTCTAGTATTGACATTATCTGACAAATTCATTAAAACTTGCATCAGTCAATTTATAGTTAACTCGTACCTTTTTTTTACAAAAACTGAACTGCCTTATTGGGGACTACTTAAAAACAAGGGAGTGGAGGCCATGTGAGTGACTTGTGATGTCATGTTTAGGCATTATTTGTTCTATATCACACTATTCATTAACTTGGTGACTCTTTTTACCTCCTTGTACGAAGTAAAAGAAGTACCGTAATAGTGAAAAATTTTGATTATAATATTTAACCAGATATACAGTCAAAAGTCTTTAATCCGGACTCGTCGGCACTTCGGCGATTCCAGTTTATCAGTTTTTTCGGATTATAGATCATCAGTTTAAATCTGGTAAGGTGGCATGCAGAAATTATAAAATTAAAAATATCAAATCATAATTTATGAAATAAAGATCAATTTTGATTTACAGGGTATCAAAATTTACAAAAAAAAAAAAAAAAAAAAGCTTAATATTTATTTGTTTACTTTATTAAACATTTCTTTAAACGCGCGCATGCTTAAAGCATATGTTATGCACAGTCAAAATTAGAAAATTGCAACCAGAAAACTATTTGATGTGTATTTGTGATATTTATAATGACGGGGAAGAGTACATCGAGATGAAATACGTAGTGTATTCGGAAACTAAGTACAGTTTCATTCTAGCGCCGTCGCAGCGCTGTGGTAGGCGTCCCCCGCATGCGCACTAGTCTTTCTTGTTCACTGACTTTCAATTGTCGCCATTTTGGTTGCTCTGTGTTTTGTTTTCAGTTTGCTGTGCAGATTCAAAATGTTTAAGACAATTAGTTCTCCCGCTGACTGTAAGATTCGTGCCGTGATTAAATTTTTGAATGTGAGGAATGTTAAACTGGCCGAAATTTATCATCAAGTGACAGAAGTTTACAGTGAATACGCGATAAGTGATGGAATGGTGAGAAAGTGGGTAAGAATGTTTAATGCAGGTCGAACAAATGTCCACGCTGAGGCTCGGAGTGGTCGGCCTTCTGTTGTCACTGATGATTTGGTAAGGAAAGTTGATGAAGCAATTCATGAGAACAGACACTTCACAATGACAACTCTTTCAGAGGCATTTCCACAAATTTCACGTACTGTTTTGTTTGAAATTGTGTCTGACCGCTTGAATTATCGCAAACTGTGTTCCCGATGGGTTCCAAAAATGAAACGCGAGCTTGGTGGCAAGCGCTTTGGATCTGACAATGACACAAAAAATGCTGTGGAGTCATGGTTATTGAAACTGGCGGGAAGTTTCTTTGACGATGGTATACAAAAACTGGTCACCCGCTATGACAGGTGTTTGATCATTGGCGGAAACTATGTTGAAAATAGTTTAAGACATGTATGTTCATGTAAAAATAAAATTGGATTCGAAAAAATTGTTTTACTATTTTTTTTTTTTCAAAACGGTACTTAGTTTCCGAATACGCCTTCTACTACATTTAGTAAGGAATTATAAGCTGAATAAAATAAAAACATCTGTTCTGAAGATAAGGATAGTGATGGCAGATCAGTTTCCAGTTCATTGCGTGCCGTGACGTTCCCCCGCAGAGCAGTGTGAAATTGATAAACATATTTTGGAAAGGTTAGAGAATCAAAGGATATGCCTTTATCCATTTTTTGCAGCAGTGCCACTTTTTGTTTGATGGACATCGAAACATGCTTTCGCTTTGTAGATCCTTTGGTAGCTCCAGAATTGGAAATTCTTTTTGACATAATCAAAAGTTCAAGCTTACTTTTATAAAATTGCTGTAATAGTCTGCAAAAAATAATAAGCCGGATCCAATAAGAAGATTAAGGAACAACGCAATCTGCTACATTAACTGAAATAGATAATTTTAGCTTAGCTTATACCGTCTGTTATACATTAAATGCGCATGCGTAAACGTATTATGCGCATGCGTAGATGCATATGTGCATTCGTACAGGTATTATGCACATGCGTTAATGCATTATGCATTGATGCATGCGCAGAAAGTTTGTAGCTTTGAGGTCCGGATTATAGATCATTCTGGATTATGGACGTCCGGATTAAAGACTTTTGACTGTATTTGTTTTGACCATTTTCAAATCCATGTGGAGAATTTTTTTTTTGTGTGCCGTTCATACTTAGAATAGACTGTTTTTTCCAAAATGGATTTAAAGTCTATTCAAAAGTGATTTTTTTCGTGACTTCTGTACCTATGTATACACCTACATACATATGTATGTGTCTTGCATAACTCGAAAATGATTATATATACAGTTAAACTCGCTTATAACAAGCACAAAGGGACCACAGTATTTGCTTGTTTTAACAGAGTCCTCAAACAGGTTTGGGAAAAAAATACCATAGAAATTTATATATATACGTATTATATTATATATCATTAGTATATTTATTTCTGTACAGTGCAAAAGAAGTTGGTTAATTTGCTTTGAGATATCTTATTGACCATTTCTTGTGTTATTCTTCAGAGAAGACTCATGGTTGGAAAACAATGCCATTTGCACACCTGGCTTCAAAAAGAGTTTGAAGTTTTCCTGTGTATTCAAAAGGCATTGAGTATATTGAGTGTGAAATTCCTTATATCATTATTATCATTGTTGCCTTCATTATTTTTTTGATCTGCTTTAGCTTGAATTTTGGCTACACTACTCCTTAGAACTAGATATCTCGGAAGTGATAACATTGGAATCAACAGATACATAATTTCTAAATTCTTCTCTACTCATTTCCAAATTTTCTGAGTTGTCTATTTCTTCTCATTCTTCCTCAGTGATCTGCTCCTCTTGAGAAATATCCAATCCAACTGTATGGAAGCAATTGGTAATGCATGGCGATGTAATGTTTCCTCATGCATCATCATTAAATGTATCGCTCCGAGTACACTTACAATGTAGTATGTTACAAAGTTTGATTTAAAACTTCTAATGATCCCTTGATCCATAAGCTGAATAATATTTGTAGAATTCAGTGATAAAAACTCGATTTTGATGTTTGTAAGTCCGGTGATTTTGTGATGCGTTTTACAGTAGTCAATTAAAAGGAGGATTTTAGCTTTTTTCTCAGTTTCCTCTCCTGTTTTGAAATTAATTCTGTGAAAATGTTCGAAGTCATCCAGGCATCTTGCTGTAGTCATAAATCAACAGGAAACTTTATCACATGCTTAAAACATTTAGGGATTTTGGACTTGCCGATAACCAACAGTTTCTTTTTGTCAGTGCCAGATATATTAGAATGCTCTAAAGCAATCAGTCGAGTTTTGGAGAGCTGGTCTTTGCACTTTTTACCCTTGAAAGTCTGCTGTGGAGTTACATAGTAGAAAATGCCCATTTCATCGGCATTTTAAATTTCATCTTTGTTTATCCATGTCGCAGTATCCAATATGTTTGCTTCATCACAAATTTTTCCAAAGGTTATCTATCCCATGTCTATTCTTGAATTGATCAAACCAGCCATTTGAACATAGAAATCAAGAATAGCCATATTGTTCAGCGAATTTTTCTGTTTGAACTTTTAAAAGTGGACCACTTACAGGAAAATCTGCGCTATGTTGCACCTTAATCCACTTTAAAAGTGCTTCATCCAAATCCTCTTTAGCACATTTCTTCAAATATTTACATTTATTTTTATTTTGATTGAACCCAGCCATTAATTTTTCATGTTCTTTAAGTGTTAAAGCAGTAGAAGAGGATAAATCATACTTTTTGCAGATTTCGGAATTTTTTACACCATCCTCCTAACTCCCATAAAATCTCTTGTATGCAGTGTAAACTTCTGTCCAATCAGCAAACTCCATGATCTCCTCAAAGTCACTATGCACTCCATGAGATGAAAAACACATGTTCACAGGATTAATGACTCATCACTAACTTTTGTTTGATTTAGAGGAATTTTTCCAAAAAAGGATTAGTTTAGTAGAGAGATGGAAGTCAATAGAAATTTTACGAATTGCAAAAATATTGCTCACTATAACCGGGGTTTGCTCATTAAAAACGAGTTATGCTCCTGTAGACTTACCATTATACTAATCAAGTATTTCCAATTTCTTTGTTAAGTTTGGGTTCTCATTAAATCAGGGCTCTTTGTAAGTGAGCTATATGTATAAGAAATCATTAAAAATTTTTTTTTGAACAAGATTATCTTATCCTTGGAAACAAATTTTATAGGAAATTAAAAGTGTTAATAGGCAATCGGAAGAGAAAATTGATTATTATTTGATATTATTATTTAATATTATTAAAGTTGGAAAATATTTGGAAAATTTTATTTTTTAAAAGGGAAATAAGAAAAAGTAATTAAAGTGTTAAAAATATACAATAGGGTAAACAAAGAAAAACTATGAATCTTTCTTGCTGCCATTTTGAGATCCATACTGCTACCAACTAATTGTCCAAAAATGTTAAATAATGTGTTTTTTAATCTCAAAATTGCATGAAACTATCCTAATATGTTTTCAGCTCTCTGCTAATAAGTGCAAATATTTAAAGATAATACAAAATACAATCTTAATTGAAATGAAAAATTATACAAAAACAACACTCATAAAAAGATAATAGCCTAGAAAAACTTTACACAGAATATATGCCCATCCCCTTATCCAGCTTAAAATCTTCTTCATGCCTTTATTTTCCCAATCATTGGTCGTAGTCATGCAAAAAGGATGACAGTTTTATCTTGTGTTTAATGATAGGAGTGTGGATAATTAGAAAGTAACTTAAATTTTTTAGGAAATTTACTGTTCAAGATTAATAAAATTTTGTCTGTTAATGTAATATGTAAAATATGTACATTTATTTTATATATACGTGTTGTTTTTAGGAGAGTGCTTTTAGATACTGGCAATCCTAATGTACCCGAGTATGTCAGCTTGGTAAAAGAAGTTTTGAGTCAGCATAATTGCTCCTTACAGAATATAATTGTCAGTCATTGGCATTTGGATCATATTGGTGGGGTACCAGATTTATTGAAAGAACTGGATCTTGGTATGTTCAATTATATTATGCTGTTTTTCAGAACTGCAATTTCTGCTAAGTTTTCTTATATTTTTCATTTAGATTTCATCAGTTACTACTTGTGATTTGAATATAATAGAAAAATTATTTGTGTTTATTATTATTTATGTGTTCATGTATGCACATATGTAAGCACAAATGTATGTGTGTGTATACATATATACATATATGTACATACACACTTGCATACATTCAAACATTTCTGAATCCGGTCCTGATAGCAGAACAGTACCAATTAGTTTAATTATAGAATTTAGTGTAAATGTATGAAATTATTGCAAAATTAATGGCATAAATAGGAAGTAAAACTTGCTAATTATTTAGCTTCTATTCCTTATGTGTAGTTGTGATTCTTTACTACAAGCAGAGTCGTAGCTAGGGTTTTCAGCGCCCAGGGACAGCTGAAGATTTCGCGCCCCCTACTGCTTGCCAAGGATGGAAAACATTTAATTCTAAAATGTTGCAACATCAGATTGGCGCCCCTTGAATTCTGCACCCGGGAACAGATGCCTCCTTGCGCCCCCTCTAGCTATGCCCCTGACTACAAGGCACAGATCAAAGTCTGATCAGTGAGATAGCTTGGGGGAAGGCAAAAGGAGGACATTTGTCCCCTTGCATAGCATCAAGATGGTGCCAAACTCATTTTCCCCATTGCATGTTGGTAAATAGGAAGGGTGTGAAATCTTCATGTGTTCCCAGGCACTGAAAACCCTAGCTGTGCCTCTGAGTTTGATGAGATATTTTCCAGATGTTATTTATTTTCCTTTTTTTTTTCATTCCGAGTAACTTTATTAAACACCATTTTAGTTTCTTTTATTAGCATGTAAAGATTATTATAAATTTCATAAATTCTTATAATAATTATATATGTATCTACATCTTTCGATTATGTCAAATAGAATTTTTGATATATACTTACTAATATGTAAAGGATTTACAAAGCGAAAGTATGTTTCGAAGTCCATTAAACAAAAAGTGAAATTGCTGCAAAAAATGGATAAAGGCATATCCTTTGTTTATTTAACCATTCCGAAATCTGTTTATCAATTTCATGCTGCTGTGCGGCGGGGGAAACGCCGCGGCGTGCAATGAATTGGAAGTTGATCTGTCAGCACTATCCGTATCTTCAGGGCAGATGTTTTTATTTTATTTGGCGTATCATTCCTTACTAGATGTAATATTTCATCTCAATGTACTCCGTCTTTAATATGATTTAAATCAAATTTCTTGTCATTATAATTCACTTCCGATAGCGAAGAAAGTGACACAGAGGTTATAGGAAACGAAAAAATTTCGATTGACAAATTAGTCGGTATTCTCGACACAGCAATTATAGGACTTGAACAGCGGAACTTTGTAACTGAACAAGAAATTATGTCTGTTTATAGAATTAAAGAGAAAGTATTATCACATAAAAAAACGAAGCAACTTAAACAACTTACATTGAAAGAAATGTTTAATAAAGTAAACAAATAAATAGTAATTATTATTATAAGCTTATAAAAATAATTATAATATTTATAATCTCAAATTATAGTAGTAAGCTTTTAAACTGTACTGGTTTCTTTTTTCTTCTTATCATGTAAAATATGGGGTTAAAAATATAATAATTACTTTTTTTGCCTGGTTTTATGGATTTTAGGCTTTTGTTGAATAGATGTGAGTGATTTATAACTTTTTAGAAGATGTGTTATGGAAGAAATCAGTGATACCATGGCTAAGTTCAAACTGTGAGCCTTCTGATTGCCAGTTGGATGTGCTTGCAAGTACACCATCAAGTCGTTTCCTAACAATATTTTTAAGAATCCTTATTATTATTATTATTATTATTTTATCGCATTTAATTGTTCCAGACAACTACAGCACTTTCACACACATATTAAGCTGTTTTTTACGCCATTCCATGGATGTCAACTCCTCTGCCCAAAAATACATAAATCTAATAACAGTGACAAATAATATTCTGGAAACACTGAACCAATTTCTTACATGGAGACCCTTCATTTTGCAATTTTGATCACTGCACATCCAAATGGTTTTGTCGTTAACATAGAGTTTCATGTTGTGGCCATTTTCGCTTACTCATTTGTCAGGTAAAAGACCTCTTTCTTGAAAACACGATATGGCATCTATATAATTACTTAGCAAATTTAAGATTGTTAATGTCGTGTTCACACACACACACACACACAAAAAAAAAAAAAAAAAAAAGCTATGAATGTATTTTTAAATAAACAATGCAAATTTGAAAACCTCATTAAAAACGAATAAAATAAAAAATACCATGACAGCAAAAATACAACTTGGTGATAATATGTGATTACGTGGCAAGGTATAAGAACATGCATCCAATGCTAATATACAATCATGTGATGAGGTATAAGAGCATGCAGCCAGATTTTGGCACGATATCTCTGTTGATTGGTGGTTTATTCTCGAGAGCACAACTATAACAAATAATTTTTTTAACTATAACAAAGAATTTAACTATAACAACTATAACAAAGAAAATAGTTGCTCGGGGAGGGCAACTATTTTCTCTGTATACAGTAGCATTCTTATAATTTACAACTGCTTAATCCACAAATGTCTGTAATCTCCGCTGGTTTTTTAGATATAAACAAACAAAATTCTTATTATCAGAAAATTAAACATGGAAAAATAAATGGCAATATCTTTCCTATGTAGATATATATACAAACAAACCTTTTAACAAAACTATCCATATTTAAAATTTCTGACATATTTTCATTGAAGAAGCAAATTAATTTTGCCATTGACATTATTTAGCATTTTCTGGATGTATATCAAATATTTTATTTTATATTAAATATGGATTTCAAATTTCTAACTTTTTTGCTTTAGATAAATCCCTCCTTTTGGATTAAATTAAATTAAATTAAGAGCAAGGTCCAAACTCACTTAACCAAATCAACATTAAACTGTAAGGTCACACTGGACCAGGCTGTGGAACAACAAATGAGGGCAACCAGTTACTTAACCATTCTCAATCTAGCTGTCACAGAAATTTTCAGGAGGTATAAAATGTCTCAAGTATGAGTAATTCAAAAGCTTAGGGTCATCAGGCTGCTAAAACCTGGTAGCAGAAATGTTAAAATAAAGTAACTAGACAAATGAATATTTGGATAACCTCTTTATCAATTTAAACTGAGCACATGTACACAAACCATTGAGTTATATCTTTTGCTTAATTCTTTTATATTTTGTTGAACTTTGTAAAGTAATTTATATTAATGGTTTAGGGGTCAGAGCTGTAGCAGGGTTTTCAATTCCCGGGGACAAATGGAGATTTGTCCCCTTTTCTACGGGCCAAGAATGGAAAATCTTTCTAAATTTTGTTTTTGGTGCCGCTATGCGCGCATGGAGAGGTCCCCCCCTTGCACCCCCCCACTTTGGGTTTTTATAGCATCTGTGGAACAGTCCTCTGTATATATATATATATTATTATATTATATATTATATTATTTATCTACATATATTTTATATTTGCCATTAAAACAAGATGAGATCCAATCAAGAACACAGTCTGTTGAAGTTAGTTCAACTAATACATAGTTTTTGTTTTCTGACGTGTAATATTTTTCCATCAATTTCCAAGTCCTAAAAATAAAACACACAGTCAAAACCCTCTGCAAAACCAAAGCCATCAGTATAAATATCAGTATAAATTTCTAGGAAATAATTTTTCAAAATATATAGCATACTATTTTGTCAAGTAGTAAAGATCTTCCATATTATCAAATATTTCATATGTATCACATTATCATTAAATTAAACCATTGATAATCATTGGAAATCAAAAATTTCATATAAAGCTTTTAAATTACAATGACAGAAATGGAAGATCAGCCAATATGCAAACAACTTCAGTTGAGACATCTGGAAAATGCTTTCTATTACAAGCACCTAGCTTCTGTGCTGCATGTTTAATTTCTAATTTCTATTAGTTCCTTTGTCATACAGCCGCACACTAGTTCCATACATGATAATCAGAATAATAATATTATTAAAAATAATCTTCTAGTAGTAATTTTGTTGGCCAGCAGATCTTTTTAAAAGTTTCTCTATATTACTTATTCCTAAAATTCCTTAAAATTCTGTATATTTTTTTAAGCATAAATTTGAAATCATATATAAAATGCAATTTCTTACCTATCATTATTTTTAAATATTTAAATTGCTTTACAAATTTGATTTTAAGAATTTTTAATTTCAACCTGCATAGCCTGTTCAATTTGTCACCCTTATGAACAAACAAGGTTAAATAACATTTTCTCAAGTTTAAATTTAATTCCTTTTATGTTCATAATATAATAATTCCAATTTTATTAATTTTTTTCCTAGTGAAGATTAAAAAATTATTAGCAATATGTCAGCAGAATAATAAATGGTTTCAAAGATGAGAAGACAATAAAATCATGGTTTAAAACATATATAAATTATGTATTTGGCATTAAAAATCTGTATGGCTCTTCAAAACTATAAAATTCTGTTTTATTTACAGGGCAGTTAACAGTCAAAACTGCATGATTATTAACATAACTGAAGCCAGTGTTCAGACCACATTACAAACAATTCATGCAGCACAGCTTCATCTGCTTACAAAATGTAACCTATGTCTTTCTGGACAATACACATGTAGTCTCAGATTTACAGAACTATATGATATGGACATATTGCTGACAATCAAAAAACTGTTTTTGTCAAAAGAATGTCTAAGAAAAGGCATTTTCTTTATTGACAGTAGTTCCATCCTCTGCAGTTTTAATCTGACAGGCAGGAGAAATAGCCAAAATAAAAAGTCATGCAAATTTGTCAGAATTAGCAAATTTGCGAAAAATCTCATAATATGGCAATGCTGTTTTGTAATTTGTTGTTCAAATAGTGCAATTTCAATGTCAAAATTAGAACTAAAAAATACAAAGAAAACACGAAAAGACATGATCTATAATCTAGTAAATTCTATAATGTTCAATATCTTTGGTCTCATTAACAGATTATTGGAATTCTGCTGTACCATTCTTTACTATATATTCATGTGCTGTCGAGGTTAATCATTATTCTGAATTAGGAATTTCATTTCTTTGAAATATTTGAAACTTATGCAAATTTCGTGCAATAATATTACAAAGCTAATTTAATTTTTGAATTAAAACATTTGGAACAAAAATACTTAAAATTTAGTGACCAAGGCAGTACTGATGTTCTGTATTAATTTTATGAAAAGAAATAAAAGGTATGAAGTTATCTGAATTAACAGAACTTAAAATTCTTGAAGTTAATGAGTGTAAATATTTTCTAATAGTATTCTCTTTGCTTATGTCTTATAAAGCAAAGAATTTATTTAAAAGAAACTAAAATAAGAATGTCATGAAAATTTTGCTGTTTAAGTTTTGCTTGCAAAAATAAATTATTCTGTTCTTGCTTATTAATATATATATTAATTTTCAGATTGTGAAGTTTCTAAACTTCCAAGACCTTTTGGCATGCCTCATTCACCAGTTGTTCCTGATATAAAATATAATTACCTTAAAGAGGGTGATAAAATTTTAACTGAAGGAGCTACATTAAGGTATCTATTGAAGTACTTACTTAATTATTAGATAAGACTAATAATTAAGCTAGACTAATATTAATGATGGGAGATGTGTCTAATATCTCGTATGTTTTTTACATACAAGATATTAGACGCATCTAGCATCATATATGCTGTTTGATTAACTGAAACATTACTGCATTTCTCTGTTTCTTATTCATATGCATCATTTACTAAATTATCAATTAGAAACTTTTGATGTTTATTGTCATTTATTAAATTAAGTCACTTTTAGACTGACTTATGTTCAGGATGCAGTATTTCCATTAATTTTATGCTGTTTGATTAACTGAAACATCATATTTAATTAAATCATGCACCAACTGTGTGTTTTGAATTAGTGGACTGATTTTCGTATTTATGCTTGAGATTCGACAAATGTGAAAGTGGTACATGTTTTTGCATTTTACTAGCATGGCTTGTTTAAAGTATTTTAAATGATTATACTTCTTTGAAATGCTTCTTAAAACATTACATGTTATCTTGAGCTTTAACATATTTCCCATTGTTTAAAAAAGATTGAAGAATATTTTATTTTAATCTATGATTTTTAAAAGAAATTCACTGATTAAAATCATGATTTAAATTATGATTTTAATCATCTAATTAAAATTAATGACACCCTGTGTAAAATAAGAATACATTTTCTGAAATGAAAAGAAAGTGCAAAAAATAGATTTGTAGAATATTAAATCTATAATTATTTTTTATTTTGGAATAAATTGCATTAGTTTTAGACTGCGTTTTTTAACTTGTGTCTTATTATGAAAGCTTTCCAATATGCGTTTAAGTTGGGGCTTAATTTCTAAAATTAAAAGTGCCGGACCCATATGGAAGACCGTCAGCAAAGAGGAACAAGAGTAAATAAATAAATAAAATGCCTATTAAACTCATTAATAATTTAAAAATTAAATAGTTAATTATCAAATTAATTAATGTTTATAAATTGTTATTTAATCAATAATTGTTATATAATTAATCATAATTTAATTTCTAAATATTAAATAATTAATTAATTGTTTATTGAAATAATTAAAGTAATTAAATGATTAAAATTAAATTAAATGTAAAGAGATAAATTAAAATTTAAAAAGTGATTTTTAATATAATTTTATTGCTAAAAAATATTTCCGAGATAAAATTTCTACTAAACTTGTTATTCAGTTGCATAAAAGAAGAGCTGCAGCCTTCTTATTTAGGGCTTCGGTGCGCTCTGGCTAAAATTCTGATTTATTACAAAAGCTAAGAAGCACCGGAGCCGGGTTCCGACGCAATTTAAGCTCTGATCGTAGGGGAAAAAAGTTCTTTTATCATCACAAAAATTAAATATATTTGAAATATAGCTGATGAAAATTCAGATAATGCTAAAAACAGGGTGAAACACAATGAGGGTATGAGTGGGTGGAAACAAAACAGGAGGGGAATCTTGGTGAAAGAGAACGTTTTCTTTGACTGCGGCTGTTTGCTGATATAATTATAGCCATCAAGCGGATGTGTAAGGGTGTGTGTCAGGGATAAAATGAGTCCTGAATCTCACTCCTAAGGATGAATGTAAAGTTGCTGGTTACGCTTTTCGCCCACCCCTGTATTTGGTTACATTAGTGGATACTGTAGGAAGGCGATGTATAGGATGTGCTTGAGCAGTTTATCTCAGTATTTCACTCTTATTGTACTCGCTGTCACTTAATGCACATTTAAGAACTCAAATTTTCATTCTTGCAAGGATAACTAACTGTAACTATCGACAACAATATACTAGAGGAGACTTTACTTCAGTTTTATAAAAAAAAGTACCAGAGCTCATCTTATTTAGGTGCACTCCGACTAAAATTGTAATTTATCTTAAAAATTGAGAAGTACCGCAGCCGGGCTCCGGCACAATTTAATCACTGGTTTACGTCTATTCTGTCTATACATATTCTTATGGTTAAAAATGAACACAAATGTTTGGGTTGTTATGTTGTTCCAGTTCCATTTCTCACATAAAACATACACCTCAACAGTTCTTTTCTTGTTTCTTTTTTTCCCCTTTTTTAAAGTTTGGGATCTCTCCTCGAGTGGCGGCTCATGGCTAAAATTAGTGGGGGTGCTGTTCAAAAAAAAAAAAAAACCTTTGTTTTAAAATTGTCTAAAAGGAAATAAACATGTATAAAAAGAAAATTTATTTTGATACTTCATGAAATCTTACAAGAAAAAAATTAAGCATTTCTTAATTACTTTAACCAAAATTGTTACAGTTCAATCTTTGCCTATTCATTTAAAAATGAAATCCATTCTTCTTGTTTTAATTTGCGCGAAAAGATCAATAATTTTTTCCTTGATCTCTGAATGACAACTGAGAAAATTTTTCTTTATTGAAATCAATGCAAGCGCATTAAGTCTTTCCGAATTCCTAGTGCTTCTTAGAAAAGTTTTCATTCTTTTCAAATGTTGAAAAGCACAGCATTCTGCCTCTGATGTAGTCATGGGAACTCTCAAGAGAATTTTTTTGTCTGTTTCGTAATTTCACTAAGAACATCATCTAGATTATTTTTTCGAAGATAAATTTCAGTAGCTCAATTAATTTTCAAGTATTCATGGATATCAATCCTACAATACTTTTAGTTCAGTTTCAAGCTTTTCTTTGTCAGTCATTAAATATGCTTCAGTGGTCAGTACTATTTCTTTTGTAGAATGTTCATTCCTAAAACTAGCTAAAATTCCTAAAATTTCTTGTTTAACAATTTAGCAGCTGCTAAGTGTTTAGTGGAATACCTGTACATTATATCAATACATAGTATAAAGTCACATATTTCCTTAGTTTCTGCCATCAGTGTCTTTGAAAAATTCTTACAGTACTTTGACTACGATTCTTACAGTACATTTGAGTTTCTTAATTCTAAAATAGCAGTTTTGAAATTTGTTATATATTCGTTAACTTTAAACAACACATTAATTTCTCCTGGATTGCATTTAGTTGTATATTATTTCCACATGACGCATCTGATAAAAAAGCTCTAACCAAAACTTGAAATTATCATCATATAGTTTTTTTTTTTTTTTTTTTTTTAAATTTCTGTTGTTTTTGCAATAGTTTGATCTGCATTTGATGTTGATTGAATTTCAGTAAGGCAATTTTTTAAAGGTTGCAAATTTTCAATGAACTCTGTTTATGGTACGTATGATGAAGTTCCACCTTGTGGAGGAATACCACACGCGCAGAGTAAAAAGAAATCACGTTTCCAACAACATGCCAGAATTTCGGCACTGCAAGAGCGACAGTGCTCTTCTCGCTACTCGGCTCGCGTGCTGCTTTCTGTGTGCGCATGCGCAGAACAGCCAAGCACCACGTCGCTGGAACTGTGAAGCACGCAGTTCCAAACAAAGAATTTCGTACCTTTTTCACAAAGTAGGGGATGGCAACTGACATTAAGCTTAAGGAATATGTATTGTAAAAGTATAAAGAAAGAATTAAAGACTAAAGGACACACTATATTAAGTATTAAAAATAATAATAAGTGGAAATAAGGGTGCTGCAGTTCCACAGTGCTTATTACGAGCCGCCACTGCTCTCCTCCTAACTTTGTCTTGAATATAGATCAGAAATTATCAGTTCAACATGGCTTAAGATCTTTCATTTATCTCCTTTATTATAAAAGTGTATTACTCATCAAGGTAACCAAGTAATCATTCCCTAGGATCATAGAAGGGTGAGATAAAATATTCCCATTATTTATTTTAAACAAAAATGCATTTGAAAATGTTGTTTATGATCAGTGGGATTTTATAAATCAGTTAAAATGTTTTACTTTAATATGTTAAGTCTATGAAAATACATTGTTTTTCTATCTAATTTTTAAAAAATATTTCTGTCATGAATTGCATTTTTTATGAGCTCAACTGTCGAGAGTTTTCTCATATCAGGCATTTGTCGTCATATCAGGCTTTAGCTTTCCAGAAATTCAAACTTTTACTTTCTATGGGTGAACTTGCCCCAGTTAGAAAAATCACTTTGCATCTCAAAATTGGTGGGAAGCATTACACATTGCCAGTTTTTTTTAGGGAAGGGTGTAATATTAAATGATTTGCCAAATTTCAAATTTAAATTGATTTTTTTTCATTATTTATTTTGTTACTCAGAGATTAAATACTTTTAGTAATCAAGTAACCTCAATTCTCATTTGGTATTTAATTTTATTTACATTCAAGGATATGTCTGATTTCAATGATATTTCATATTTAAAGCTATCTTATAATAACTGAAATATAAAAGCAATTTTTATGCATTTTCAGTTAAAAAAAATATGTGTAAGTTTAATCACACTAGATGATATGGTAATTAATCAACACTGATTAACCTGAAATAAAGGATAAACTCCCATTTAATTCCTGGCTGTATGTGTGTTATTCCCCTCCCAATTCTTGCAGGTGTAATATCAGTTGCTCCTTAGTCCACTTTGAGTTATATTCTTGTTAATGAGATAGCTAAATAACAGTAAGTTTGGCCTTGATCTCAAACAAATGCTTAATTTGTAAATGTATGGCCTTTTGAGGGGCAGGGAAATCTAGGTTTTGTCATTTAATGTTCATTTCTACTTCATTTATTCTGTCATCTGTGATTTAAATGCAAATTTTGAATACTTTTATGTTTGATTTTGTAAAGAGCAATTTTTTTTTTAATGTTAGTAAACTTTTATTTTACAGATTCTTATATATTTAATATATTGCAGCGTAATTGCAGCTCCTGGTCATACTGATGATCATCTTATTTTGTACTTAGAAGAAGAAAACAGTCTATTTAGTGGAGATTGTATATTAGGAGAAGGCACAGCAGTAAGACATATCTTCTGTGAAGTTTTTATTTTCTGTGCACTAAACTAGACTTTTTAAGAAGGGAGGGGGAAGTACGTACAACACAAGGTGTTTCTAAATTTATGGTGCAAAATTTAAGGGGTGTAGACCATATGAAAAGAAATATTTTTCATAATGTGGTATATAATTACGAGGGCCATCCAGGAAGTAGATTACGTTTCCGTCTGTGTCCGCTAGGGGCGGGGCTAGCGCGGCCATCTTGGGGTCAGAGCGTTGCGCAGCTCAGTCTGCATCTAGCCGTGCTAGTGAGAGGTTCGTGCTGTGCTCCGTTCAGATACTGTGACGGTTTGAAATGTCTGCGTTAATTGAAAATCCCGCGAGCTGCGAGGTGCGCTCAGTAATAAGGTTTCTGACTGCAAAAAACTGTAAACCGATAGAAATCTATCGGCAGCTTCGTGAAGTGTATGGGGACAACATTATCACTGAAGGTGGAGTGCGTCAGTGGGTCATAAGATTTCAAAATGGCCGAACCAATGTTCACGACGAAGATCGAAGTGGGAGACCCAGCATAGTGACCGCCGAACTTCTCGAAAAAGTCGATGCTAAAGTCCGTGAAAATCGAAATTTCACAATAACGGAACTTTCTTTGAGTTTTCCACAAATTTCGCGAAGTTTGTTGCACGAAATCATCAGCGAAAAGCTTGGTTACCACAAGTTTTGTGCAAGATGGATTCCAAAAATCTTGACAGAGGACCACAAAAATCAGCGAATGGCTGCAGCGTTGAACTTTTTGGACGCTTACCATAAGGATGGTGACTCTTTACTCGATCGCATCGTTACTGGTGACGAAACATGGGTGAAACATGTGAACTGTGAAACGAAATTGCAATCAATGCAGTGGGGGCACACAAGTTCTCCCCAAAAACCCAAGAAATGCATGCAAACAATGTCGGCAAGGAAGATGATGGCGACTGTTTTTTGGGACAGAAAAGGTGTAATTTTGGTGGACTTCCTGGAAAGAGGCACTACAATAAACTCTCAAAGGTATTGCCAAACTCTCCAAAAACTCAGAAGAGCAATTCAAAACAAGCGCAGAGGAATGTTGAGCTCTAAGATCTTGTTGATTCACGACAACGCCCGGCCCCACACGGCAAATGTCACTCGTAAAGTTCTTGAATCTTTTAAGTGGGAGTTGTTTCCTCATCCGCCGTACAGTCCCGACCTGGCACCGAGCGACTTCCACCTATTCCCAGCAATGAAGAAGTGGCTGGCTATGCAGCGTTTTGATGACGACGCACAGCTGCAAGAAGAGGTAACGAAGTGGTTGAAGGCGCAGGCGGCCGAATTTTTCGACGAAGGAATTTCCAAGCTCGTACATCGCTACGATAAATGCCTTAATTTGTATGGTGACTATGTAGAAAAGTAGTATTTGAGTGTGGCTTTCATCTGTATATAATAAAATTTGTTTCCTATACTTTGTTTATTTTTTTATTCCAAAACGTAATCTACTTTCTGGATAGCCCTCGTAGAACTGAAGTATGGAGATGCTAACTCAGAAAAGATGAAAAAGTTCTATTAAATTCATTTTATAGTAAATACTGTAAAAAGCTGTTGTGAAATTAGTCTGTTAGTGTCAATGCATTGATTGTTATAAATTCTTGTAGATATCAGATATATCATAGATAGCTGGAGTGTGATGATGGTGATGGTGAGAATTTTTAGAGAAAAATCATTGGCAGTCTCATGCAGAAAAGTCTTTAAATGCCCATGTGATAAGAAATTCAGGCATGACAAATGCAGCAGTTGTGGTGACCAAGGTGATAGGTTCACCTTGAAAAATCTCTTAGTTTCAAAAATAGCATTCAAGTTGTAGAGCATCATGTTATTTTTTGAAGCAGGAGACATGAAAAATTAGCAGTGCTCTCACTGGGACTCAAACCTGGACCTATTGAATACGTGCCAAGTGTGCTATCAATTACACCAAGAAGGCACACAGAAAAGAGTGAGAAAATACCTTATATACTTCCACTTTTAAAGAGTAACTGGGTATTAGGGGACACATTGCCAAATCCTGGTGGTGATAAACCATTATCCACCACCTTGTAGTTCGGGCGCCACCGCAGAGTCATTAAGTATTTTTGAAGCAGGAGATGGGAAAAATGTGCAGTGCCCACGCTGGGACTGGAACCTGGACCACTCAAATACGTGTCAAGTATGCTACCGTTACACCATGAAGGCATGCAAAAAGGAAGGAGAAAATACCTTCCACTCTAAAATGCTCTGCTACTGCATTATGTTGAAATTACATTTGCTACTGGGAATTGCAAATACTGTATTGCAAAATCCACTGCATGCTACATGCTGGTTTTCAAAGTAGAATGTTCTTTCCACTGTATTCTACTTAAAACCAGCAGATGAATTCATGGCAGAAAGGCTAATCATCAGATTTCGAGGCGTACATTCTCTGTAAATGGTAGTAGTGTAGTAGTTCTCTATGTAAAAATCTTCATGCCATAGTATGGCTTGCACTTTGGCTGCATGTAAAATCTCTAGCGTTTGGATTAGGATCATCCAAACACTACTATAGGGGTATATAAAATGTGTTCTACTACCTCTGGAGCACTTATATATCCTGCATAACTTACCTCATATCTACTAATAGGAGTTCATACACAAGACGCCTGTCTGCCTATTCAGCATTTGTAGATTGGTCCAACATAGAAATTTTTGTTGCAACTGGTAGGATTTATGAAATTTTTTTTTTTTATAAAGAACATTAAAATGCACCTGCTTGCAACATCTGCTGAAATAATTTTCAATCATGTATTGTATTACACACACACACACACACACACACAAAAAAAAAAAAAAAAAAAAAAAAAAAATTCTTGCTTTTGTATGCTGTACCACACTTTAAATATTGCCCCATAAATTCGAAAGCACCTTCATATGGTTAATATATTTTACTATTATCGTTTGATTTGTATCTGTTTAAGATTATCAGTTAGTGCTGTAAATCATGAACTACGTAGCATTAGTGGAACTCTAACATTCAAAATACATTAGTGGGAGAAATAAAGGACTAATGGTGCTTACATATAATCATGTCAGCTTAAAGCTGCTGACTAGCTGGGCAACTTAGTGCGAGTTATGGATAAATGAGATATGGCAACATACTCCCAGCATCTGTGCTTTCGTCGGATGAAACCCGATTGATTTTTGATAAGACACTTTTGTTTTTATGAACAAAGATATAAATATGTTACTGCTGTATTTTCCCCTGAATTTTAAAAGAATTTTTAAAATTTTGGATCTGTGTTTCATAGAACCACAAGCAGCAGATCATTTTCAAAGATACTATCATAAAAAAAGTTGTGTTAATGGACATTATAGAGTCAGCTGAACATGGCCAACCAAAAAAGTAATAGATTGGAACAATCACTTGCAAAAAGTTGATATTCACAATGTTCTAAACTGAAAGACATAATGAAATAGTAAAAATCAATAAAAACCCTTTTCATGGAGCACAAAAGTAAAGCGGGTCAAATATTGATCGTTATTAAATAAAGAGGTGCCAGTTCTATCAGAATTACGAAGAAAAAACTGACATAACTTTAGCTGGATTTCCACCAACTTTTATGGTTTGATGGTAGCCAACTTTAATGATCCACGGAAGTACCAGAATAATCGTAAAAATCTCATGCAACTTGAATGATTCTGCAGCTTAGAACATGGCACTTGGACAAGATTTTCATTTTGCCTTACCTAACATATCTTCAAATGCAGAATTGTCTGTTTCTGCAAAAAATAAATTTAAATAAGAGCATGGAAAATGTAATATAAAGTGGGGCAAGGAAAAGTTTTTGTTTCTACATTTTAGAGATACATAGAAAAAGTTAATGAGATGTGCGGTCACCTCTGATCAAAATTTAAGCTTTGTAGTGATTTTCCTTGCTGTGCATTAGATTGCCTTGGAGTTTCTGCAGCAAGTGTAATCATGATAAATAGCACCTTGAAGCTCCTGATGAAGGTTGGGTAGGTTTGCAGTGATGCAAGTCTGCATGCTAGTGTATCCCACATATGTTCTATTGGATTTAAATCTGGATAATATACACCATGCCCTCCACCGGATTCCTTTGCCTTTAAAGTGCAGTCACTAGTGCAGAGCAATGAGAATGATCATTAACATTCAGAAGGTAGAAGTTATTACAACTGTACTCCTAAACAACTTGACTTAAGCATAAACAACTTCATCTTTGTATATTTTAGCATTTGTGAGCTAGTGAAAATGTATAGCTCAGTTTATCTTTCCAGAATGATGTCTTCCTATACCATGACTCCACCTTTTTTGTATCAATGCCTTTCATGGATGTTTTCATGCTTCTTGCACGTGTTTTGTTCACTTCAGATAGATACTTGTCTGGAATATACTCTGAACAAATATAACTCATCAGTAAAGAGAGCTCGTCTCTTGTCTGTGGTACTCTAACAGCGGTGATCTCTGCAGAACTGCAACTGAATGCATTTTGAAGGCAGAGTTAGTAGGACACAAATCATGGGTTTTATGCAGCCTGTCTCTCACATTTAGCTAGTTCATTTCCAATAGTTGTAGCAGACTTTCTTACAGTCCAGGTTGATGTCTGGTGTTTATTTCTTTTAGCACAAATTGCCAATAATGATCCTGAGAGTGTGCTGTGGGACATTTTTCAATTTCTGAACCATTTCCAGATTCTTAACATTGTGATGTAGCCGTTCCTCGATAGACTCTAATGCCGGCTAGCTTTAAAAGGATTTATTAACAGAGCACACAGGAACGGTTAAACAAAAGAAATATACATAAAAATGAAACATATACCAAATGGAACATCAAACATTGAGAATAACATAACATAGTAAGCTATCATCATGGCGGCTGGAGGTCGACTGACGTTTTTTCATATCGCCACGAGATGGCGTTTAAATAAAATAGTTCGGTTACAGTTCATGAGTTCATGGCGTGAATAAAATAGTTCAGTTACACT